TCATTAGTTTTGCCGGGATTGTTGAAAGATTAAGTTCGTTAGAAATTACGCGGGTGGTTACATTCCTTGCTTAAAAAAAAAAATACAAACTTTACAAATGTTCGGCTAACTTCGTTCTAATTGTGGGCGCTTCGAAAAATTGTTGCAAACAGAGTGATTTAATATTTTAAAAATGAAATAAAAAAAAATGTTAGTAAGGAAATTCATTCATAGTTATAGTTGAAATAAAAAAAAAAAAATTCTTTGCTGTTATTCGTATTGCGCCGAGATTCGTTTATGTTATATTCTTCGTTCAAAGAAGTTATTTCATTTCGATGGCATCATTCCGCTAAAAAAACAAAATCAGTTCAATGGCGGTCGACTCGTAAATTTGCAATTCGTGTGACATCAAAAAAAAAAGAGTTAAATTCGCTGAAATCGTGAAAGTTCTATTAAAAGCACATTATTTAAAAATTAAGTCCTCTGAAAATCTCTGCATACAAAAAATTATTTTTTAGTTAAAAGGCCATGTAATAAAAAAGAGAAGTTATTAAACGTGTTCACAGTCAAAGAAAATAAAATTTGTTAATGCGCTGTTGATTTAGAAATTCGTCGGTTATAACGGGTTAGGCTTCGTCAAAACTCCAATAAACGAAACGAACTCCCCTTAAAAGTTTATATATATAAATAAATATAAAACAAATTCGAAAACTATTTTCAAAATTTCACATATTAGCAGGAAGAAGGTTCGTAAAAGAAATAGCTGTTTTAAACAGAAGTATTTATAGTCAAATGAGATTCGTGTTAGCAAATAGAAGAATTGTTTTTGCAAAATGAAAACTTTGTCTTTGATGGCAAACACAACACAACAGGTGTCTGCCTTTTCTTAGTTTTGGATTTGAATCGTGTTTTGTATAATGTATATGAGCAATAACTTTTCTCTGTTCGTTCTCTTATTTGGTTTATTTCTTCACTGACTACAGCTAACTCTTGTTTGTTAAATCTCTTATTTGAGTATATTTATTTTGAAAATTGAACGTTCCCCTCATTTTTGATTTCGATCTTTGCTTTTATTCCGTTCGATGAAAACTCTGAAAGCAACAAAAAATTAAAGTAAGTAATGTTATTACCGAGCATTTTAACTATAATTAGAATATTAGAAAGATGTTATGAGAAATTTTTTGGGAAAACTAGAGAAAAAATGTAAGTTTTAGAAATGCTTAGCCAAAGAGAAAGAAATTGTAGTTAGAATTGAAGTGACGAAGTTTTTGATTTAAAGCAGTCTTAAAAAATTTCTCTCGAGGAAATGAATAGATAATTATAATAAATAAAATTCAAATATTTAAAAACAAATTATTACAACAAAACAAAAATTAAATAACCTCTTTGAAAGGGTGTTACATAAGAAAAAAAAGTTACGGGAAAGCAATGTTTAAATGTCGCTTTTACCAGCGCTCGTAAATAAAAAATTCGATTTTGCAAATTAAAAAAAATAATACTAAGATAAAATCCGGAGTTTCGTGCTAAATATTATTGTGTGAGTGTGTAATAATTTTGCTCTTTTCACTTATTAGTTTTGATTATAGCTTTATTAGCTATGAGAAAGAGTTTTTTAAATGTTTTTTCGTTTATGTTATATGTCGAATAAATTGAAAGTGTAAACATGAACTTATCAACGAAGCAGTACAAGGAAGACTATCGTCGGTCTAAAAGAAGGTAAGACATTACAAAGAATGTATATATATAAATATTATACTTTTTTCCTATATCTTAATGGACAATTAGTTAAAAATGTATTCTATTCATTAATGCTGTTAATAATTATTCATTTAAATTATTCATCTCTTTACAATATTAAAGATGCGTACATTTGCTTCTGTTAAGGATAAACGTATTTACCTTTTTTTTTTAAAACCTGCAAACTATAATGTGTATTCATGATGAATGTGCCACTTTCCTTTTGCAATAAGTTTGATTTTCTCGCTAACCTTTAACACTCCGATCTCGCAAGAACTAAAACGCAATTCATTTATATATATACATACTCTAAATTTCTTTTACGCCATGCATGTGTTTAGTCAGTGAAAGTGAAGATTCTATGACAATTTTACTTGCGCTCGTCCACCTCTCGTCCTCCCTTTATTCGAAAATTATGTGCAAAGAAACATTCACAAACTATTTATATAAACTAAATTTTTGAGCCAATTCCGCTAGTGAGTCAAATATAAACAATGGACATGCCAGCCGTTATGGGTATCGAGCCCTCTTGATTGTAATAGCCAAACAAAGCAACAACTAGGCTTAAACGAAGAAGTATTGCATTGATTGAAAAACTTATTTCAACTAAGCAACTGATAGAATCCTCAGAGGAAATAGGAGAGAAGAATTAACCGAACTGAGAAGAAGCCAGCAGAAATTTGCTGTAATCTCATAAGGAATCTATATTTCTTTTTTCTTTTAAGTACATCGCACCACTATTCTTCCATTAAAACTTTTCAATTATTTCCCTGAGAATCTTGTTGGTGTCTGTAGTTCCCGTTGCTTCGTCTTACTGAAAAAGTAAAAAAAACAAAAGTGTTTTGTAACGTTTTACTTAAGTTATATTAGTAATTTTGTAATCTCAGTTTTGGCACTACATTCATACTGGTTAGCTCTTGAAAAAGTAATTTGCAAGCATAGGGCATTGAAATCTTTGAAACGTTTGCTGATGATTGACAAAAATGACACCAAGAGCAATATGCTAGACGACCGCAAGTCTTACAAACGTCAACGTCAAATGCATCGGATGATATCATTAGACGTTCCATTATTAGCATACTGGCACCATACGATATTAAGCAATCTCGTTCCATTTCACCTAAACGTAACCCGCCTTCACGACTACGACCTTGCGTAGGTTGACGAGTAAGCACCGCTTTCGGGCCTCTAGCACGTGCATGCATTTTATCCTGCACCATATGCTTTAATTTTTGATAATACACTGGACCTGAATATATATAAGCCTCCAGACTTTCACCGGTAATGCCGGAATAGAAATAATCTTTACCCACGTAATTGAAGCCATGTTTGAAGAGCTCTTCTTGAATATCTTTACATTTTGATCCGCCAAACGCTGTACCGTAATGAAATTTACCTTCCAAGAGTCCAGCTTTGCCACCCAGTAGTTCTAAAGTTTTACCGACAGTCATACGAGATGGAAAACCATGAGGATTCATAATCATATCAGGAGAAATGCCGAAATCATTGAATGGTAAATCCTCTTGATCCACAATAAGACCCGTGACACCTTTTTGGCCATGCCGCGAGCTGAATTTATCGCCAATTTCAGGGCGACGTGTTTGTCGCAATAGAATCTTAATTAGAAAATCTTCTTCACCGTTAGCGGAAACCATAACTTTTTCCACATAACTGGGTTCCGTGCCTTTATATGTGATAGGCACCGCTGTATAATTAATCTGAAAAGATTTACATACATATACAATGCTTTGATATAAATCTTTAAATGTTTATATATAATTTCATTTTTACCTGTGATGCTTGCCCTGTCTGCTCTATAGGGTTGATTGAGGTCACTGCAGGCATTTCTTTATTAATTAGCACTTGCTTGTTAACGATCATTTCACCGGGAGCCACAATGCCATCAGTATCTAAAGCGTCATGCTTGAAAATAACTTTATTGGTTAGAGCATCTTTGACCGGTCCCATTATGCGATCGTACGTTTGATTTGCGTAACGTTTTACAGTGCATTTTGAATTTTTATATATTAAACAGCGACCATAGCCACGATCTATTGCCGCTTTGTTTAATATTACCGCATCCTCGATATCGTAACCGGAGTAACTCATAACAGCAACGGTAGCGTTCTGTCCAGCAGGAAGTCTATCAAAACCAGTCAACTCAATAGTCTTCGACCTAACCATTGGTGTTTGAGGATAAACCAGATTATACATTAATGTATCGATGCGATTTTTTTGATTGTAACCGATTACCCCCATAGCCTGTTTACCCATAGCGCATTGATACGTGTTTCGTGGACTCTGATTGTGATGGGGATAAGGAACTAAACCAGCGCAGACACCTAATATTGTAAATGGTTCAATTTCTAAATGCGTGGTATTATCCGGATCAATATCCGCTTCGTTCCAGGCAATATAGGAATCATTCTCTTCATTTACATCCAGATACTCAACTAAGCCATCGTCAAGGAAGTCCTCAAATTTGCGTATACCGCGGTTAAGCTCATCGATGTGCTTCTGCTTAACCGCTGGTCTTCCATTTTTAACAATAATATAAGGGCGACATAACCGTCCGCCGTCTGTATGTATGTAAACGCAACGTTGCATATGCGATGTGTGTATCGATACAAAAGGTCCCAAATGATTCGTTCGACGCATCCTACGAAAATCGGCCATAAGGCGTTTATAATTTCTCGTTACGCCAAGAATGTTTCCATTTATAAAAACAAGAAATACTTCTGGATTGTTAATAGCGTCCCCTCCGACCAAGCGTATATCTTCCGCGCCAGCATGAAAAGCTAATCTTACCACAGGACCTTCCTCCACCTCGGTAGTGATGTGAGTCATCAATGCTAAATTTTTAACTAAGCCACATGCTTCCCCCTCTGGTGTATCTGACGGACATAGCATGCCCCATTGACTGGGCTGTAAAGATCGTGGTCCGGATACTTTACGCGTTTTCTCAAATTGCGAATTTACACGCGTCATCATGCCCAGAGCTGAAATATAACTGAGACGAGACAGTACTTGCGTGACGCCTGCCCTTTCCATTTTGAAACGTTTTATAGTCCAATTACCAGAGGATATTGCTGACTCCAAGCCTACAGTAATCTGCGCGGCTCGAATATGCTTAACCACATCGAATTGAGCAGCCTTGACTTTCGGAATATTTTTGTCAGCGATAGTTTTCAACTCCCAGTTCATGCGTTTGAAGAGATCTTCAAACATTAGCGAGATCAAAGAGCCTGCCAGTTCTAAACGTTTGTTACCATAATAATCACGATCGTCGAAAGCAGTGCTATCCAATTCGGCGGCCATTACACGACGTATCATAAGCGATAAGTATATGGACTTAATTTGAAAATTGAAATTTTCTACTGGCACATGAGCCAGAATGGTGGTAGCAAGAAGTTCACGAGCTTCATCTGCTGGAGTTTTAACAACAGCTGTCTGAAAACGTTTCACGACCAATTTGGAACCCATATAATCTAAAGCTCGTTGCTGAGTGAAAATATTTAAAGCGCAAGCTTCTAAAAGCGAGGGAGCAAAACGATTTTGCGTCTCTATACTCGCACCAACCAACGACATAATTTCCATATCGGAGATTACACCCATTGCTTTAAATATCACAACTATCGGTATTTCGTCCACCATTGAGTTGTGTTTTAAGTAATATTTGTTATGTTTGCTTAATACCACAGTACGGGATTTCTTTTCATGAGTTGACGAAGTGACTTGACACTGAACTGTACCACCAAATTCTTCTGTAATCATTTTATTCCAAGATAATTGCTCTTGAATTAGGATAACTTTCTCTTGACCTCTGACAACGAAATAACCGCCAGGATCCAATGGGCACTCATTTAATTTCGCCAATTCAAATTCCGATTTGTCTGTTAATACACAATTTGATGACCTTAACATTACAGGCATACGTCCAATCAATAAATTGTTTCTAACGACACGTTGTGTTCCTCGAGTGTACTCTATATCGACAGTTATGGGTGCCGAATAAGTGGTGTCTCTCAGTCTACACTCATGTGGTGTTGTTGGCTTTGTTATATTATAACCATCTTCTATATCGGGTGTACCCACTCGAACGTCCAAATATTTAAGATAAAATATTGGATCTGCATCACTAATCACTGTTTTATTCGCTTGCACAATCTTTTTAATATCAACATTCACAAAATGATTAAATGAATCGATGTGTTGTTTAACTAAACCTTTTATTTGCAAAAAAGCCGGCACCAATTTCCATTTTTCCTCCAAAGGTTTTACGGCCTTACCCCAATTTTTAGGATCACTATCCCATGATTTCGTGCTCGCTTTTTTACCTGTCATTATTTTATATAGAAATTATCTTTACTTAAAAAAAAAAAAGAAAATCCTTAAATAAAATTTCGCCTCACTACTCCTACTAGCGGCATGCGAATTACTAAAGAAAAATGCATACTATGTTATTTGCAAAATTAACATCCATCAGCTGTTGGCTGCTATTTCGGGGTAGGCAATGCATTCCATGTTATCGACGTGAAAATAACAAACACAAACGGCTGAGAACACTTTTAATGTCGATAAACCGGCTAACGATCAGTTTCGGCTGCAGATATGTATTTTTTTTTTTTTTTTTTTTTTTGTGAATTCTCTCGTCCGTGTTTTAGCCAAGACAATTAAATGATAAAATGCCTCAATATTTTCTTCAATATTCAAATCAATAAAAACCCGAGAGCTCTTTGTCCTTCCTGTTCTCAATAACATTAGTAACGCTGTTAATTAGCAGCCGATCATTTTCAGTTCTTATATGAACAAAAATTCTGTTAACGCTTTTTTAAGTAAAATTTTTGTTATTTTCATTTCTTTTACTTTCAACTCTCTGTATTAGCTGTGAAAAGAGCTATCAATTTTTTTCTCTTTTTCTTTTTGAATAAGTAAGAAGTGTAAATAAAGAGAATGAATGTTATATTATCTGTACATTTTGCGAACTGTTATTTATTCAAATTACGAACCATATACTATTACAATATTTTCTTATTACTAATCAATCGTTATTAATATTTGTTTCATTTACAGCAATAAACAGCCGGTAAGGTAAGGTAAGTGAAATATTTTAATATTAATAAAGATGCATTTAGAAAAATTATATAATAAACTTAAAGGTAATCATGATCGGCTTTCAATATTGTAATGTTTCGTGATCTCGGCAAAAATTAAAATACACACCACATACGTACATAAAGTGTCACATACCTTAAATTGTTAGCTGCCTCAGATGGGTAGAATATTTCTAGTGATATTTCGCAAGTATTAAGGCAAAGTGAAAAACTGCGAAAAACATATCTAAAAAAATGATTTAAAAAAATTCGTTACTATAATATTAAGACATTACCCAACCAATTGTTGAACGATAAAATTTTCTATAGTAAGTGGCAGTTTTATGTTGTTATGTTTATGTTATGTGGATGACCGGTTTGAAAACACCCACTCACTGTTAGCAAAAGACTGAGCAGGATGTGTGTGTGTTTGAGAAAATTGCTAAAAATGTTTTTTTTTTTTTAAAGTTCTAATAAGAAACTTACGAAGTGATTTATATCCGACAGCTCCTTTACGCACTTTTCATAAGTGTACCATCCGAAGTGGAGAAGGTATAGAGTATAAAGGCAGAGCCCCTATCATCTTCACTGAAATTTCGCTACTTGAAAATTAAAATTATATATCGTATCCGTAAGCGAAGAAGGAGACAGTAGCTGACTACATTTTAGATAATCTTATTATATGCAGTACTGAGACGAATCAATTTCCATCATGACCTTAGTTCATCAATCAAGTAAGCGGTAGATTATCTGCCCTTACAAAAAAAGAAAAATTGTTTCGTATTCTAAAGATTTCTCTTACCTTATTCGTAAAAGTTAGCTTGCAGCCAATTTAATTTCTTACATATGCATTAGTTTTTATTGAATATAAAAACATTTTTCTTCTTTTTTCTTATGCATAAATTACTCTTTTTTAACTTATATTTGTCACATAAATGTTTAGGAAATTTTTTAATGATACAATTATACTGACAATGCACTGTCAAAATAAAAAAAAAAAGAACACTTAACTATTGTCGTTAAGATTAAAGAATTTTTTGGTTGTGTTTTCATAATATGCAAAAAAAATTTAAAAAACAAGAGGAAATTTCTTAAACGCCACATGGTAGACAGTAGTGACGTGGGAAAGGAATACGGAGTGTTACGTTGGGTGGGAAAGAGTAAAACAAATACGTTCATGGAATGAAAATGCTTTCTATAAAGCGGTCACAATTATCTTATTGAAAAATCTACTCTTAAGTCTACGTAGACTAAGTCTACTCGAATATAGTCTAAGCTACAAGGATTACAATTATTAATAATGATAATGACTATTGAATTATGAAAATACTTGGGGGGAATTATCATCAGCTATATAATTAAAAATAAAAAAACATTAACAAAATATTTCTTATCTTATCTTATTGAAGCTAAGTATCATAATATTTTAAATTTTTCATCGGCTTTTTTGCATGATTCTCATTAAACATTTTTAATAAACATTTTGCTTTCGATCTTTTCAAAAAAGGACAAACTTGTTTATCTAAATAAAGCATTAAAACATTTATAGCAAATGATGTGAATAGTGTATGATCAGAAAACTGTTTGAATTTATCATTTTTGCAATACGATTGTAAAAATTTTAAAAGGCAACATTTATGTTTCCTTTTAAAATGCATTTTTAAGTCTTCTTCAATATTAATTGCGTCATTTTCTGGACTTTGATTTTGAGTTATTTCGCAATTTCTACATCCTGCACTGTTGTAGGATGAATGAAATTGACCTTGAGAATTGCTATTGGCTTCGCCAGTTCGATTGCTGCTCTCGCTGGGAGAATTATTTGTGCTATTATCGTTCTCGGGGAAACTGTCGAAATTGGTTTCCCGATTCGAATTTTCTTTTTCAAAGCAATCCATGAAACTTGCAACACAGGATGGTTGATAAATGACCGCTGACGCATGACCTGATCGTCCTGAGCTTAGGGGTGTGCCTTCCTCCCACAAATTTGTTTTTGGATTGTACACTTCGACAATGGTCAAGAAATTGGAGCCATCAAATCCACCTATCGCATAAAGTTTACCATCCAATGAAGTTAAAGATAAAGCACTGCGTGCGATTTTAATTGGTGCCACTTGATCCCATATTTGGTTCTCTGTGTCATAACGTTCCACTAAAGATAATTGTCGTGAACCATCAAAGCCGCCAACAACATAAATATATTGATGAATAGCTGCCACGCCGGCACCACTACGGCCACAAGACATGGACGGCACGAAATTCCATTCGTTGTTTTCAGGATGGTAGCATTCTACGGACGCTAAACGTTCAGTCCCATCGAAACCACCGATAGCGTAGAGTAAGCGATTTACAACCACTACACCTACACCGAGACGCTTGGCTTGCATCGGCTGCACTAAAAACCAACGATCAATTTCTGGATCAAAACTAGAAAAAAAGGAAAGGAATGAATAGTTTTTTCTTTATTTTTTTTTTTTTTTTTGACTTCTTACTATTCTACAGTGTTGTGATATTCCGAGCCGGCCGAACCGCCAACAGCATACATTAATTCGTCCATTACCGCCACACCGACACGATGTCGTGGCACGGACATCGGTGCACACGGTCTCCATTGTTCAGTCAATGCATTATAACGATCGACCCAATCCGAATCGTAAGTCGTTCCCAGGGAATTATTTCTGCCGCCCACAGCATAGAAGACACCTTTAAGAAAAGCAGCTCCTAAGCCTGAGCGTGGTATACGCAAATTTGGCAGAGATGTCCACGTCTTGTCATCGACATTATATGCTTCCAATATGTCCAAAGACTGGCGATAGAAACCTCCTGCCACAAATATCATACGTGTTGTATTCGGATTACGTTCCTTCACGATTGGCCTTTTATGCAGCGTTAAATCTTTGAATATTTTCGCTAAATATTCACGGCAGGCCGGCACTTTTCTCAACACATCACAGTTTTTCATTTGTTCGCGGAGAAAAGTCGGAGTCAGAAATTGACAACGTACCGAGAAGAGTATATGCTCCATTTTGGGATAACGATTTTCCTCATCGTATTTAACCCATTTTAAGACGGCATTATATACTTCTCGTTCACCCTGCACATTAAGTTCGTCGCGACGTATTAATGCTATTAATTGATACGCTGATAATTGTAAGAATTCCTCCTCTTGACATACCTACATACATACATACATATTATTATTTTAAAACATTAACTGTTAAATAATTGGAACGCATCGACTTACCTGAGTGAAGTGACGTTCAATAAAATGATTCGCCTTTCTATGCAATTCAATGCAGCCATGTTGTTCGGCAAAATTCGCTATACCAATAGCATTTGTAGGATCTAATTGCCTTTCAAGGAATGCGCAACATGCATCTATCACATTTGGAACTTGGAACATTGTCGCAGCCGGCAATAATTGACAGACTGTAACTTCGGTTACTCGTATATGACCAGTATACATAAAATATATAATACGGCCCATGGCAGTGGGACATACCTGGAGTTAAAAATTACGATACCAAAGACATAACTACTTTTAAATGACAGAATTATGTATTAAATTAATTATAGATTAAATTAAATTATATTAATATGAAAATAAATATAATACTAACCCCTTGTAATTTTATACGTGACATTTCCGATTCCTTGAGACCTCCCGTGAACATTGCTTTAAAGTACGGTGAGGCTGCTGAGAGGACAACTTTATGGGCGGGAAAAAGTTCATGTTTAACTTCAAGTATTACATCGGTAAGCATATTATGTGAACGCATCATGAACATCATTTTTAATGCTTCCTTAGCATAGTTAGACATGCAAAAGGTCATGTCATCATCTTTGGCATTAAGATCATCACGTTCGCTGCCTATAGCAGATGTGTATGGTGAACAAATATTTTGGCAGGCTTGATAACTACTGGTGGATGCAGCATCCATGTCAGTATCTAAACAAAAGTAGTATTACAATTGGAGATATTATATTAACTACAATTCTACAATTGATTGCTAAGTGTTAGTCAGTTATGTAATTTCTTATAAATAAAGAAAGTAAAGCAGTAAGGTATCCCTTTCCAAGGCGCATGCTGCCAAAGATTCGTTAGTACATTTTAACCCTTTCAAATTCCACGATTTATCTCCTCGTATGTGTCGACGGGACCCTCCAAACTTTGCTTGAAGCCTCTCGACCGCATACAGGAGATAGAAGAGATATGCCCACCAATTAAATCCTCCAACAGGACGGCAAGTCTTTCTGAACCTTGACATTCACTCCTACTGGAGTTACTTGAATTTCGCACAACACACTACCGCGACTCGTTTGTTATTTACTGTTACGTACTGCCCACATTTAGAACAACCTTGATCGACTTCTCACTGTCCATTTCCAAGTCAAACGTTAATAAACACTATTCTCTTTCTTCATCCCTCTTTCCCTATAAGCCTTCCTGATTACCACCGTGACCGAACGCTTAGCGCTCATCACAGAGAAAAATAAAAAGAAGCGCTACAATGAAAATTAGTCTACGCATATCCCAAAAAAATTATAGCGTAACTTATCCATCGGATGAAATTGTGGGATGCTTTGTTTGAAGACAATTCTTCCTTTTTAGTCTCTTGTCTTAAATATATTCTCTCCCTTGAAATTTAAAGTAAGGGAACAATCTTTCATTCCGCATAATCGGCGTAGAAACTCGACGTTATCGCTATATTCGCAAATGTTGCTATCCAATAACTGACATTGTTTTGCTTCTACTGCAGACAAACCATCGATAGCCATCTTGGTTGCAGTTTTTTGAGGTTCTAATTTTTAATCGGTATGCGACATGCAGCTCTTCCTTTGGAAGTATCCGCCATGTCTACTATCTTGTCTAATCTTCGTGTCCTGTCTTGTCTAATCGTCGGTCGTTTGTCATCCAATACCATGTTATAGACTTTCTCCACACTTTCTTCACAATGATCACCTTAGGTGATCGAGCACAACAATATGTAAGTGTTCAACTCGGACGATTTAGCGAATGAATTCTTGATCGAATCTACCTCATTCTTAAATTTATAACAGAAATCTTATGAGGAAAGAAAAGAATACTTATCTGAAACTATTGAGCAAAAAGCTCTCTACACTTATCGATTTAAGGAAAGGAGAAGACTGACTGTTCGTTGTGATTGAAATGACTGTTGAAAAGACTGTTGTAAGAGAGAGAGAGAGAGAGAGAGAGAGTGAGAAAGTGAGAGAGAGAGACAAGTAGACAAAGCTTCTTTTTCTTCATCATTTACGTTGACTAATATTATTCAAAGTCTTCGTTGCTACATATTTCCATGCATTTGAATATTTGTCGAATATTTGTCAAACCCAATACTGGACCGAAAATCCATGATATTTCATTAGGCACGCTTATACGAATTTTTAATTGAAATTTTCAGATTTTGTTTGTGTTAGGAGAAAGCTTATTATGCTTACACTTTCTACGATAATGCTATTTGGGAAACTCTGATGTATCTAATCTACTGCAAAGCATAAAGCTAAAGGTATTTAAGCGTAGAGTAAAAAAAAATAAACTGCTCTGTCATTGTTACGTAGATAAAAAAAAATAAATAAATAAAAAAAAATAGCGATAACATAAAAAAATGAATGAAAATATTTTCTATACGTACTACACGGTCAACGGTCAACAACTCCCGGAACAAAGTAATAAAAAAAAATTTTTTTTTTTTTTTTGCAAAATACGATTTTGTATAGTATAGTATAGTCTTCTTCAAGATTAATTCAATCAATCCAATATTTCTCCAAAATTTTGATGCGTCTTTTATTCAAGAGTCTTGGAATTCTATTCAATGACTTCATTGCTTGATACAAATTTTTTTCCGAAGATCAGTATCCTCCGGAAATTGTCGATTAACTGGCGACTAGATATATTAACGGCCGTGGATGGGGCAGTAGCTTCAAATTCTTCCTTGAAGCACCATTCATTAGACATTTGCAAGCAGATATAGCAGTTGTTAGCGGCCACATCCACAGTTCAACCTTCAGCTCGCACAATTTTGCGAGAATTCCGAATCAGGAACTCGTAAACTATGAAGTGGGACTAGTGTGGAGAAAAATAATCTCGCTCTCAAATTTTCATAAAAAATTGTGAACGCCTTTGCCTTCTGTTATCTTTCGAATGAATGCCAGTCATCGCTTGCAATCTCCCATTTCGGCTATAAAAAATAATTTTCAGGATTTTTTTGCTGCCTTCTAGTTTAATCACTTCTTGCAAGGGTCCACTACCTTTCGAAAAATCAGTATCGATCTCGTTTAAAATGAAAAGATCACTGATAAATTGTCTTGGTCCCGACGGCGAAGTGCAGAGCCATTACGCTTGTCAAGCCAATGCTAGGTTTGAACAGTATTGCTTTCTGAGTCAAGTTTCCGGTTTTTTCTCATTGCTTTGGAAATAACAAAACCCGTGTCACTCAAAACCCCTTTAGTGCGTTCAACAAATAATCGAAATGATATGAAATTTTTCCTAGACGTCGTTCAAAGGCTGGCAATTTCTAAAAATACTATGAATTTTTGATAGAGAGAGAAGAGCTATTTATATCAGTCCCGGGAATTAATGACCGATGTTCTATGTATATGACCATGAACTGTAAAACAATAATTCTCCGCAAGGTCGTTACAAATACACATTACATTACATTTTAATAAATGACATCAAACTTAATACAAAAATCTCTACACGAAGTAAAGTTTAGAATGTTTCTTTTAACTGAAAGCAACAACAAGTTGTTGGATACAAAAAGCTATCACTTTCGACTCGCCTACACTTCAAACACGTGAAACATCAAGCGAAACAATCGATCGCGCTTTTGATTTGTAAAATTGTTCTCTTTATGAATATTATGAACTGATCGTATCATCCTCGTAACCTCTAGACGAAATAATATAACGAGAATTATAACTTAGGTGCCATGAACAGTTGCTATCGCATTATATTCCAAGTTATAAGTTTTGATAACAACATATATTTTGATTGATTATTCACTCAATTTAGATTTTACGTACAAAAACACATAGATTAATAGTTTTATTTACATGGCCTCTGCAGTATTAAAAATTTGTTTTCTTAGCAGCTATCTTTCCTTCTTTTCTACATACGTACTATGCATATTTACTTCGGTTAGGTTAGGTGTACTTTAGGTTGTTGTTCACTTACTTTGTTTTTCATTGATTCACGATGATTTGACAATTTTATGAATTTTTATGTTCTTTACTCTGATTGTAAAACTAATTTTATTTTTTACCTTTTCTTATTTATATGAAACGGATTAATTTGAAATTTAGCGTAAAATAGTTCAGAGAAAAGTTGTCTTTTTTTTTTTTTTTTTTTTGCAAACGAAATTTTTAATTTTCAGAAATTTCTTTAATTTAAATTTCTATTTATTGAGAATGGAAACAAGATTTAGTGCCGATATATTATAAAGCATGCAGCAGTTAGAGAAGAAGACATGATTTCTTCGTGAAGAAATTTTTGCAAAAGGGCGGAAAAATTCTTTTAATGATTGCTAACCGTGAAGAACACTCACTCGGGCATAATATGCGATAAATTTGTTCTATTGTCTATTGTTCTATTTGTCATAAGACCAAGCAGTTCCTATTAGATTATAGCACAGCTTAAGATTGTAGATCAATTTAATCCAGTTGGGCTAGTTAGTTAGTTAGTTTCCTAATCGCATAAACTAACTCAGAAATCTGAAACTTGTTTACGCCCACAAACCCACACAACTCCTAGTAAGCATTAGTAAGAATTTTACTAAGCTTTTGTAAGAACTTATCTGAAATTTATCACAAATATTTAAAAGGTCAAGATTTCATGGATGGTAGACGCGACGGATACGAATCTCATGTATTTGGACGGCCCTGTCTTACTTAGGCGATCTCTTCACTCTACAGGTCTATTAATTTCGATCTCTGGGATCAATCCGAGATGTTTTCGCCATCAATTAATCTTTCTAGTGACAGGCCAGACTATGGTAAACTTTTTGCCTGACTTAAATACATTCTTCTAGCCCGCTAAACATTATTACGAATGAACTGAACCTGCCCAACGTGTTGCCTATAATATCTCCCTTCTTGCCGGCCATATTTTCTCCGAATGTCCTGAATCAAAAATTAGTGAGCCCCTACTTCGTTGTTCTAGAACAGAGTTTATTCCCTTTCCTTCCGAACACACGGGGCTTTTAATTATACTTAATTTATTTCCTCACTTTCTCTAGTTACACTCGATTTTCGCATATTTCTGCAAATGTTTGCTTATCTTTTTAAGTTCATACCGCCTCTCTGTCCGTCTTTGCTGGCTTTATTCGACTATTTTTAAATCACATATTGAAAATTTTCTCAGTCCTAAAATATTGTGAAAATTTGAAATGACCTCGTGATAATCAACATTGTAAGTGTAATAAGATATTGCCGTCTAACGCTCTAAGTTTATTTACCAGTCACCAGTCCCCGTTTATAGCCAATGACTAGTAATAAGACAGAAATCTAGATTAATTTTAAGGCCTAGTACTTTTTACGTAGATTTCATATCGAGATTTACCTAAAGATTTTTATTAGATTTACCCTAGAAACCATCAGATTTTATTGAGAGAAGCGTAAAACTCTGAGCACATTGAGGTCCTCTTCTACAAGCAAGTATCGCGGTTGAAAAAATTTGGCATAAACTGTGGATTAGAGGTCCATTTTTAAATGAAGTGCGCAGAACCATCTTTAAAAACTAGGACGGTCCGCCACAACGTTAAAACTATGAACCTTCTTGACCACTATAAAATTTCAAACGATATTTCGTTTTATCAAGAACTTTGAAGCTAGAGAGCCACACTTTTCGCTCTAGGGGATCGGTTTTCATAGACATTACATAAAGTGACGTGCGATGGATAAACTTAAACTAACACCAAGAAGGAATGTATGCATTTTACAGGATCTTTAAAGTTTTTCTTATGGGTATTGGAAATGCTTTGCGAGAATGAGTACACGCCTGCCGCCCGTTGAGAGGTATGAAAAATTCATTAGGTTTTCAATATTATTTGTTAGTAAAAACTAACTTTGAAGAAATAATAATCTATTACACCCAAGGATTTATATGTATACATACATACATAAACACAATTATTGAAGCATAAGAGAAGATTAAAATTGAGCAGAATTAAAGCATCATTTTTTTTTTTTTGTAATTCTTAAGGTTGTTGTGAACTTGATATTGCGATATTAATTGTCCGGAACAAAAATGCATAGGTCAGGTTAGGCTGAAATTGTTTATATGTATAAAACTATTAATCTCTTTTAGATGATACTAAGCCTGTCTACATTCAATGAAAATTAAATAAAATAGAATTCATAAGAACACAAACAAACAAAATAGTTTTCACGGGAAACGCTTTTCAATTTGAAACTCGTTTTAATTAGAATATAATTAAATGCTCACTTCTTAAATATTTCAGTCAATATTACAAATTTACAAATCACAAAACGGCATTTGCATCAAAATGCAAATCTTCTTGTAAATGATAATAACAACAAATTAGTGAATTGTATTTTCACTGCATACGCATATAAATCTTTGCGTAATCATTGTTTTCCCCGTTTTTTTTCTTTTTGTCTTTTTTTCTTTTTGTCTTTTTTAAAAAGAATATTAACCGAATGAACGTGCTTTTACTTGTTAACAGAAAACAATTAATCAGTCAGTGCAAGAAGAAAAAAGCACTAATAACAAGTGAATAAAAAAAAAAAAATTTTACACAACTCTCGCAAGCTAGAGAAAATGACAACTAAACGTAGAAATGTTGATTATGTCAATAAAGTTGCCAGAGTTGAAATAAATTATCGTAGTTTACTGTTATTAAGTAAAGTTTAAGCAAGAGGAGCCGGATACTGTGTTGCAATTAAAAAAAAAAAAAAAAAAAAGTACAAACACTGTAAGAATGCGTACCGTGTACCCGAAAGCTGCAATCGAACGCTATTTGTTGTTTTATTACCTTACAATTAATTAAAGACGAAAAAAATTGTAATAAAATAGAAAATATTTACAAACTAAAAAATACATATGTTTTTATATATACACGCAATTCTCTTGTTCCAATTTCATTCAACTTGTTGTTGTGTGCCTTAGTGTAAGCATTACTAGCACTTACGATCCACTTGCTTTTGTTTACATTAATTTGTACTTTTGTGCAAATTAAATTGAGCAAAAGTAAAATAAAGTAAAATCCGATCTTGCTCGAATTATTTATGAGACAAACTGTGAACATAATGCGACTTATGCTTAGGACAATAAATCCTACGGGCTCGAATCATAGCGGTTCCGTTATATTTCTTCATGGCTCTGGTGAGTTTTTCCATTCATTTTAAATATTATCTAATAATGTTTTAGTTTAGGTGATACCGGAACAAATTTAATTGAATGGATACGATTTTTATTGGGACGTGATATGGAATTTCCGCATATAAAAATGATATATCCAACGGCTCCATTACAACCATATACACCATTAGGCGGTCAAATGTCCAATGTATGGTTTGATAGACGTGCCATATCGATTGACGCTTTTGAAAGTCGTAAAAGTATGGCCGAAATATATGAAGATATTCATGAAATGATCAATGCAGAAGTGTCTGCTGGCATACCATTAGATCGAATAATAATTGGTGGCTTTTCAATGGGTGGAGCATTAGCTTTGCATAGCGGTTATCATTTAAATACGGATTTAGGTGGAGTTTTTGCCTGCTCTTCATTTTTAAATCACGATTCGATAGTTTATGATTCTTTATGCAATCGTACAACACCTGGTACACGATTGCCAGAATTATTAATGTTTCACGGCGATCGAGATAATTTAGTGCCATCGGAATGGGGAAAAGAAAGCTTTGATAATCTTATTAAGCTTGGCGTTGAAGGCGCATTTAACATATTACCGAATACGTTACACGAATTGAAAAAACGTGAACTTTTAGATATACAAAAATGGATTTTAACAAAATTGCCAGCATTGGATAATAATGACGGATGAAATTAAATTTCAATTTTTTTTTTTGCTTTTTTTGTAATTATTCTTATTGGAAAAATTTGAAGAATTTTATAAATTTTGAAGAAATATTTATAATTTTTGAACCATTTCTCTCTCTCTCTCTCTCTTTCTCTCTCTCTCTCTCTCTCTCTCTTTCTCTCTCTCTCCCTTCCTCCCCTTCTCATTCTTTTTTATTATAAATGCACTTGCATTAACAGACAGCAGCCGCATTTAATTATTTTCATTTATAATATTTAAACTAATACAAAGAATTGCAAGATGAGAAGCTTAGCTTGCGGCCTCAGAAACTTCCATAGTATTTATTCTTAAATATTGTGATGGGTAAAATATTTATTATTTATATTCGTCAAATTGTGATGAAGTTGGATAAGACCCATTGATTGTTTGTGATTGCTTGTGGTTGATTGATATCTCACTGCGTTATCTAGTTGATTGAGGGGTTAAAATAAAAATTCAATTCATTTTCCAATACCCAAGTATCTTAATTATAGTATAACTTTTGTCAAATAGAACCGCATATATACTCCTCTTCTTCTCATTTTTACTTATTGCAGAGGTAACTTATAGACACATAATGCCTCCTTGATTAATTTGGGTTAAGCAATCGATTCAATCATGACTATTTGCCGGAATTTCGGAAACGATCCTGAAGCTCACACTCTTGTGTGGTGTCCATTTTCAGTTAATTTTTACCCAAACTTGCTTAGCTTAAATTTAGGAGATGCAATTAATTATAAGGTCAGCGAATTCGTTGAAAAAGTAACGACAATTGTAGATTTTCGCATAGCTCCTTTCTTCAAAATTCTTTATGTAAATATTTAGTGAAGTATTGTCGAATATTTAACGGTGGTCAGCGGCCCATTACAAATATTTTCATTTGCTTCAGTTGGAACTAATGGAAAATTCTCAGTGTCTCGGGAATTCTCAGTGCAACTATCATGCATTTTGTGCACAAAGCATCAATAGACATAGTTTTTCAAGACTCTTGTAAGATAACGACTCCTTCGACGATCCTCGGACCAGTGATCTTTCTAGTATGAAACAGAATTTTGTACATTTTTTTTTTTTTTACATTTTCATAATGATAATAAGAACGCTAGATTGTGGAGCTCCCTCATCGTTTCTTTCAAGATTATTCGTATTTCCGGGAATCGTTTTAATTCCATACAAGTGAAAGGAAATAAATTAGGAGGCCAATGGCAACCAAAACGATTTTCAAAAAGATATTAAATCGCAAATAACAAGTTGATGGCAAGCTTCGTTGAAGTAGATCCAGTACAACTGTATAAATCATCGCATGGTGATGGACTGCCAGCAACTTTGCAATCTAACTGCGAAGGAGTGTCAGAAAGGCGAAGCTACAAGTAAGCTTTTTAATCCTTCTTATAACTTGAATGTGTCAGCAATGTATATTAACCAAGGCTGTTAATTCCCATTTACTCGTGCTTTTGTTATCGACATTTTTCTTGAACTGACCTGAGCTTCATTTTCCTGTCGTCTACCATAGTATTCCCCGTTGGCCTTTTCATTCGTTTCTCTCGACTACTTTCATTTCATTTCTGATGTCCTTTGCATGTTTACACGCAGGAAATTTCTCCAAATTCGAGAGTTAAAGAAAGATTAAAACTACTGGCGGACTACTGTACTGTACTGTCGTGAACTGTTTCTCAAGACCCCGAGTGTGTTAAAACATTGAAAATTCTTCCAACGAATTAATTTTTTTTTGTTTTGAATTTCAATTAAAGAAAATTTATTTATTAAAATTCTATATATGTAAAAAAAAAAAAAAAAAAATTAAAAAAAAAAAGAAGAGCTGAATGAGATTTTATTGAAAAACCAAAGAAAACTCTCCAAAATGCAAATGTTTATAATTTATTGCAATTGTTTTTCTTAAGTTTACATATATGTTGGAATCGAATTCATATTAAAATTGTTGGTTTAATTTGCTTTCTATTTATAAAGCATCACCAATACTATCTTTTAAAGGTGTTTTTTTTTTTGTTTTTTTTTTTTTTTGTTTTTCTTTTTTTTGTCTTAAAATTTCGCTTTATCTTGATTTACAATATTTTGTGTTGGAAAACTCGTTAAGCAATTGTTTGTCGGTATATTGAGTTTTGACTAAACTTAGTTTGACGATTCTCATCACTCTTTCAACTTATATCTTACGTGATACATAGTACAAAAATGCTGTATGATTAAAATAAAACAGAATAAATTTAAAGAGAATTAATAAAATTATCAAAGGTACAAAAAAAAAAAAAAAAAAAAAAAAAAAAAAAAAATGGGATAAAAAGGATCAATTAGAAGTTGAAGTTAAAAAAAAAAAAAATAAAGGTGAGTGTGAGTGTGACAGATAATAGAAGAATGTATGTATGACGACGTGTAGTTGTATGTTGTTATTGTTTCACGATGCGACGCTAAAAATTCAATTCAATTTTAATAATATCCGGGAAGGAACTCATGAACAAACTCCCCATTATAATCAGAAAATTAATAATTGATGGAGCTGTAGTGTAGTAGTGTAGTAATTGCTTAAAAAATAGATCTTATTGTTTAAGAATTGTTTTTGTTGTTCTTTTTTTTTTTTTCTTGCTTTTCTTTTACTTTTTCTTCTTCCTTTTGTAATTTAACGGCGGCTTATATGATGAGGTTGTGTGTGTTTCTCTCTCTCTTTGTAAATGAAGTTAGATGTGGGTGTACTAGATGTATGCAGACAAATTTATTTTTTTTTGTTTTTAATGTTTTTGCCGTCGGCGTTATTCTCCATTTTTAATTTCTTTTTAGGTGGAGCCTGTGCGTGAGCCTCATCTTCCTCATCCTCGCCGTCATCGTCATCGTCGGTTTCCTCATCCTCCATATCGACAACTTCGACTTCATCTTTGATATTTTGCCCATGTATATACACGGGACCGTTACCCTTAATAAGCTTAAATGTGACCGCAGTTTCATAAAACTCAATGTCGGGATTGCAAGCACGTGTTTCGCCCGCTTTTAAAACAGCGATAGGGATTTTTAAATTATCTTTAACGGTGTGAACCTACGAAAATAAAATGCAAAAGAAAAATGATAAAACTCTCATTGTGAAAAACAGTATTAAAAAAGCAATGCAATGCAATGCAAGAAGAGCAAACAATTTTTTCTCTTAACTGTCGGCTTAGACCTATGGCGCCCCGCCACATTCTTAGCACACATAGAAAGCAATAAACTGATGTTAACCTTTCCCCCCTATAGCACGTTCTTTTCGTGTTTCTCTCTTATGATAAAACTAAACGTGAACAGGTAGACGATAAAAGGACGACCGAGCATACAGCGATATTTGCAATTGTTCTCAGATATCTTTTCATTAAATGCTCGAGTTACAAATCTTCTCTCACTACTCAATACTCAAAACTATTAACTTTTAGTTTGTTTTCCTTGCTGAGAGGGGATGGAAGGGACGCCGCCCAATTTTCATAATGCGATTTGTGGAGAAAAAAAAAAATCAAGAAACCCTATATGCTAGAATTAACGGCGATTTGCATCTACCTATGGATAAATTTGATCCATAATTCTCAGCCGAAATTGGGCAGAAATATTTCTTGATCGATTAAGAGGTTAAAGTTAAAAAATAATTGTAAACCTTTACATGCACGCCCCGTAATGTAGAAAAGCAAAAGGGACAACCACGAAAGACACCAACAACAATTTGCTCATATTTTTTCATCTATAACTTTCGACTTCATGAAGTTATGTCCAAAAAGCTCTGTTACCTCTATATAAAAATAAATATACATCATCAGCATGTCAAGAGAACTTACACTATAAAAAAAACAATTCGTTATATATCGCGATAAACAGTTGCAAGGCTTTGCATGCTCTACACACCACTGTGTGGCACAAAGATTGGTACATGGCTGGTGCGTATGTATGAAAGACCCAGAAGTGAGTTGGGATAGAATCACTTTCTAAATCGGTATAGGCTTGTCTCTCTGTCCGTCTATCTGTCTGTCTTATTTTTTTTTGCATTCAACATGTCGCCAATGTTGAGATATTTTTTAATGAAATTTGATATATCGATATATATTACATTAACTCAAGGACGAAATCTATTGAAAATGCTTCGAGTCGAACCTGCCTGCCCTACAACACCTAATTTTGAAAAGTCGTTTAACGGAATGGTGTAAGATATTTGATAGTGGTCTGAGATCAACTATAGTGCTTTTGCTTGTTATATAAATAAAAGATTTGAAGCGTTAGATGTCTAGTGTCTACTCTTTACGCGCATAAAAATGGAAAAATCGTCGGTACGCATACAAACCATCAAGTGATTATATTTCTCTTTTTTCACTTTTTTGAGGCAAAGGCAAACGAGACAGAAGTTTTAAAATTGCTTTGTGTACATTCGCTCAAATGAAAGTATATTATGTGCCTAAAAATGGGTTAACGGTACCGCGCGACCCATGTGGATTAATTTTTTTCCTTAATAATACCAACGATATGTGTATCAAATAAAAGAATTTGGAGAGTAGAATGCGACAAGCATAGTGATGAATATAATTTTCTTACTTATTTTTTACTTTCTCTATTTTATTACTTACTTCATTCTTTTTTTAAATTCGTCATATGAAGATATGTTATCTGCCTAAAAAGGCTTTTAATTGTAAATTAAATTTGATGGAAGCGGCAACGTGACAGATTGGATATGGAATAAAGCGACTTAAGCTAGTGGAATGCGACAAGCAAGTTGTGCCAATTTTAAATATTGCTTACCATACATTAGGGTGAATTTTTTGAATTCAAAAATGCGAATTCAACGTGGTACGGTCGTACATATATGCACATACACATATATCAAAATAGCAAACGTCCTCTTCAGCTAATGCTGAATTTTAAATCGCTATAAATCGCAAACCCATATAATAAACTTGAATGAATCGATAATTGTAGACGTCATAACAATATTAATATAAAATAAAGAGAGCAAGTAATACCCACTTAGTCTCTTATCACAAAGAATAGTGTCAAGCGAATGATTGCAGTTATCAAGTTTATAGGGTACGGATTAATAACAAACGACCGATGAGAATTGGGTGTTGAAACGAATTCGAATAATCAACATTTAGTTTTGTATTTGATAAGTGATCTCGCTTTGCCTATTATGAAGAATATAATTTAGTTCTTTACCATTAACAAAATCAAACGCCAAATAATAATTATATATATTATTAAAATAATTTTGTGTAATAAAATTAAAAATATGGAAGATTTTGAAGGTTGTGTAGCACAAACTATTCATTAAATTTCATATTTATGAAAAGCCGGCTTTTGCGTGTCTTCATTTTAATATAAAATACCAAAGACGCTTAAAACTTTTTCAGAGACGTCTGACGCCTGTCTCTATGGTTGATCCGATTAGATGAATAGTTCCGCATTTTTCTCCATTCGAATAGCAAAGTATGCTTTCATCAATGATGTAATCTATTTTTGCATTCGCGTGAATTCCCCGATATTTTTATATATAATTTATTATATATATAATGTATTAACTTTGAGTGTGTGTGTTTGTGTGTGTTTGTGTGTGTTTGTGTGTGTTTGTGTTTGTGTTTGTGTTTGTGTTTGTGTTTGTGTTTGTGTGTGTGTGTGTGTGTGTTTGTGTTTGTGTTTGTGTGTGTGTGTGTGTGTGTGTGTGTGTGTGTGTGTGTGTGTGTGT